TTCTTGTTCCTAGTAACAGTAAGGCCAGGAGCCCCTAGTAGCATCCTAGCTCCTAGTAGCGATGCCAGGAGCCCCTGGCTCAAGTCCTTGCTCTTGTTGAACTTCTTCAGGCCTATCTTCAACTGGTACTCTTTCTCGATCTCGCGGAACTCCTATCGCCCACTGCATCAACCATGCCCATCATGTAGAGCAGTCCTCGAAGTCTCTTCTTTGGCAGGTTCTTCGCGCCAATGTCAGCACTGTTGAGGTCGGTAGAATGGGCGCCACCTGGATGATCTTGTCCCGTTCCTTCTCCTCTCCACAGCATGGATGCATCCAAGTGCCTTACTCTGCTGACGCCCTGCCTCTGTGTCATGCCGCGGGCAGCAGAGTGGTCAGACGTGACTTTGGTCTTGCATGATCCACCTGTGATCTGGTTCCACAGGTGTCTGACCAGCATCCCTTCTGGATAGCGAGGCCAAGAACTCGCTAGGATAGGGCAATGGCCTTTTGGCTTCTCACTTTGCTGTCAATGAGGTTGCCGTCCAAGAACAACTGCACGGAGGTCGTAGACTTTCTATCCTTCTTGTTGCCTGCATGGTCAGATGCAATCAGCTTTGGGATGTACTTGGCACTGATTGTGATCTCGACAGTGCTGTCGAAGCTGAGCTGTCGTTTCAGGTAGTACACAACTCCTGGCTTGTCAACTCCGCGAGGTCCTTCTGCCTTCAACTTGAGGATCTTGCTGAAGTGTTTGAGGAAAGCTTCATGCGCTCCTTCTGGACCAATCAACAGGATGTTGTCAATGTGCGCTGAAAGGTAGCTGTTGTCTTCTTTGTGCCTGAACAGCGTACCCCCTTGGTAGGCTTCGTAGTTGAACTCAGCACGCAACCCTGAAAAGAATTGATTCCATTCCAGAGCTGCTGACCTCTGACCTGGCAAACACTTCTTGAGTTTCCAGAAGTGCAACTTGGGACTCTGTAGGATCTCTTGAACCCACTTTGGAACTTGAACGACAACATAACTCTTCTGGCTCACCATCAAGAAAGCATCAGACACGCCAAAAACTGACACGAGCAACCTCTGGATCACGGCCAACGAAATCAAAGCCTTGATGAAAATCAGAGGGCTTGTCTCTTCTGTGCTTCCTGATGTTCTGAACTCTAGAGCCACCAACCTTGCCCTTCTAGTCCACCTTAATTCTTGGTCTCCATCAGCACGGAATCTGCAGTCGTAGACAATGCAAGTATCAAGTTCACGGGCAAATCTTCAAGCACTTCTAGCTCTCTCAGCATTGCCTCTCTGTCGAGCTCCTTTAGCTCCTCTGGACTGACATCTGGAGGACCTGCACCTTCATCGAAGAAACCTCTCATCCTCTTCTCATCGTCACTGATGCAAATGCCTCCATACTTTGACTCTGTCCATTCAACTGAGTCTTCGTCCAGCCAAAAGCTTCTTCTGGATCTTCATCCTCGTCATAGAGCTCAACCTTCTCCACCACTCTCCTCACTGTGCCTTTCTGCTTCATCTCAGGAGATTCTGTAGGTCTTGCGGTCGATGAAGTTGCTGTGGATGAATCTGTCTTCTTGGCGACCTTCTGACTTGATTCTGGAACCTGTGTATCAGGATCGAACCTGACTTGCTTCGCTGGACCTGTCTCTTCACCTTCATCACTCTTACGCTTTGTTCTTTCATGCTCAACCTTCCTTCTACTTCCTGGGCCTGCACTCTCATCCTTTGCTGTTCGTTTGTGGTCAACTGCGGTTGCTTCTGCCGCTGCCGACGCTTGTGTTGTTTGTGTTTCTTCTGTGGCATTGGATGCCCCGCCTGCCTGAACATCCTTATCTTCTTCTTCATCATTTGGATGCTCCTGGGCATACTTCATCACCTTTTCCGCATCGAGGTCTTTGGTAGGCCTTTCAGGTGTAGTCCTTGTTGTTGGACTTTCTGCAGCGGTCTTTTCACGGCTTTCATCTTGACCTTGGAGTCTTTGTACCTCCTTCATCAATCAGTTCTGGTATTGGTGAACTGATGGACTTGGCCTCAAGCTTTGTTCTGACTCATCTCTTCATGTCCCATGGGCCGACTTTGGCATCTACGATCATCTGTCCGTTCCAGTGCTCTCCGCTCTTGCGAACTGCTTTGCACCGGACAACTTCTTCTGGGCTGACCATGATCACATCTTGATCAGCATGGTCTTTGCCAAGCCAAACGCCAGCTCGCCACTGGGACTTGTACTTTGGTTGTAGTCCATCAAGCGACAAACACGGCCTTTGCAGGGACGACCTCTGCAAGCACGGAGGACAACGACCTTCATCCAAGGCAATTCGTGCTCTCTCTTCAACATGAGCTACTAGGTGTCAGGAAGAGGTACTGCTCACCTGCAGGTACATCAGGGATTCGACAAAAAGGATCTTCCATCTCTAAAATCTTCTTGACAGTTCTGCAACCTGCCAAACATCTGCTGCCTCTGTCACTCGCTGAATTAAAGTTGTGCGAAACTGAAAGTTGGCACCCCAAACAGCTCCTGGGTCCACGAAGTGACTGCCTAGGATCCTCATGAAGGGATGGCCAGCTTCAACGTCCCATGCTCCATAGCGCTTCTCACTGTGGAACTGACTCACACGCACAACTGCTCTAACCTCATTCATGGTCTTGCACTTCACTCTCAATGCGAAACACCGCAGCTTCTTTAGCCAGAGAATTTGTTTGGAAGAAGGCTGGGGTCTTGGCATCACCTGAAGGTGGTACAAGCACGGGTTGCCACCTTCTTGACTCACTGTCCAACCATTCTTGTACAGCTCTCCAAGAGAAAAAATGCACAAGTGCGAACGTTGCCAACCAGAAACCTGTGATGCAACTCAATGTCTTGTCCTGACATCATGTCATGTCACACACAACCAATGTTGCCTCTTTCTGTCCTGCTGTCTCAACTGGCATTCCTTGACAGTCTTGCAAGCGAACACTTGTCATCTCTGTTGTACTGCCTGCAAAACTCATGGGAAGCAATGAAACATCTGAACCGCTGTCTAAAATGATGATGTTCCTGCCTGCACTGCTCTTCCTCTACACTGGCCTCGGGAATCTCTTGGATGATCACCTGAACAGTCGAAGGGGCTTGAATGGTCGAAGGTGCATATGAAGTCTCTGATACAGGACCTATGTGAAAGATGCGTCTGACTGCCGCGTTCAGTGTGCTGCTAGTCGATGCTGTTTGTCCACCCGCCACTGAACCTGTAACTGAAGGTCTTGGTTGCACTGGAACTTGGATTGCAGTCTGCATCAATGCAGGATAGTTTAACTCAGTCACTTGCTGAACTCGTTGAGGACAATCACGTGACCAATGCCCAAACCCACATGACACACCCTGCACTGATTCTGATCCAACGCTTTGCCCTTGCCATTCTTTGTCTGTCCTTTGCCCTTCTGACCTTTCTTTTCTTTCTGCGCGCCTTTGCCTTTACCACGGCCAAATCCTCTTCCTTTTCCTCGGCCTGGACCTTTTCCTCCAAATGGAAAAGCATTCCACCAAGACTTGGCCTTTCCTTTGAACTTGCCCTTGCCTTTGCTCTTGCCTTTGTCTTCAATGCGGTCAATGTCCATGGGCATAGGTCCACTCGATGGTAAAGGATCTCCTGGTCCATTGATGCTCACGGACTTCAAAAGGCTGTCCTCACTCCATGTCTTGCTAGCCTTCTCGCGCGACAGAATTGCATGCTTAATCTCGTTGTATGTTGCGCTGTCCCTGATTGTCAACTGCAAATGCTGTCGAACTGAGGCCTCTGCACCGCGAATCAATGTCGCCGACTTCAACTCATCTGGATAGTCTGCACCTGAGAGTTCTCCGAATTGGGCCACCTACTCTTCATAGTTCAATATGCATTCCAACACCGATTTCTCTTTGGGAAAGCTTGGATAGCCAGCGAGGGCCAAAGCTAGGCTTCGTGACCTTGTCGACGGCAAAAACTCCTGGTGAAGTTGTTTCCACAACCTTATAACTTGGACAGACCTTGCTCTTCTGTGCTGTAGCCTGACATTGTTGGCATGTCTGCCATCTCCTCAATCTTCTCTAGAATCTTCTGGAATTTGGGCTCACAAAAATTCAACCATGAAGTGAACACGACCTTCCAGCTCATGAAGTTGTGGGGATCGCTTCCATCGAAGGTATCAGGGTCCTTCAAAACTCTGCTTGCAGCTTGTAGCCCACGGAGGATGAGCTGCTAGCACCTCCAGCTGTAGCCGCCAAGGCACTCTCAGCCGCTGTGGCTGCCCGAGTTGCAGCCATTGCCAAACTTGCCATCTGCTCCATCAGCTGTTGAGCAACCACTGGATTGCCTTCTCCTTGCATGGCACAACCTCCTTGCAACAAAGTCAACATGACCAATGTCTGTAGTTGTCGAAGTCCTTTCTTCCTGATCCGTGCAGCCTGCATTCGTCTGATCGGGTTGCAGTGTTCTCCCGATACCGCCAAACAGACTTGAGAAGAGGGATACACGAAAGGTAGGACAGCGGGAGGAAAATAAGCGTTTATTTTATCTGCACACTTCAATTCTCAGATTTATCACACATGCTAACATCAAACTGCACTCTCTCGCTCTGCTGACTCCTTCAGCGCTTTTAGACAGCATCGGGGAGATCCAGTCTTGTCTCATGATCGGCCTCCCTCTTCCTACGGCAGGGTTAGGCTGTATGGTACAAATCATGGAAGATATCAACTTCCTTAGGACCAGTTCCACCTTTCAGTGGTATTCTCAAGAACACGCTGTGCATTGGTAAAGGTAAAAGCAATCGTTTGCGTCAATTCACGATCCAACGTGACTAGGGTTTCCCTTGTCACGGACATTCGCTGTGTCCATTGCGGATTCAGATTGTGGGTGTCAATGTTGTCCAAAACGTCATCGATGGACATGAGAGCGGTGCGAACCTTCTCGCGGAAGATCACGTAGCGTTGAAGCAGATGCAAATGAGCAACGAGTTGCTCCATAGGGTGGAGGGCGGGCCAAAAGCAACACGCGCAAACTAAAAGAGGTCCCACCCACCTCTCCCTTGAACAGAGACTACGTGTCATGAACAAATTCCGAATACAAGCTTCCAAGGAACGCATTGAAACATCTTCGAATTGAATCAAGTTTGTTTCACTAAACTGAAACAAATACGTTTCGATTAAATAAGTTCTTTGTCAACTTCGTCAACTGCATTCATTATTTAATCTGCACAATTCAATTCTCAGATTTATCACACATGCTAACATCAAACTGCACTCTCTCGCTCTGCTGACTCCTTCAGCGCTTTTAGACAGCATCGGGGAGATCCAGTCTTGTCTCATGATCGGCCTCCCTCTTCCCCCCATTCTTCAGGAGGCGCTCAAAGGCTTGCTCGCTTCATCCAGCACTGACCTCAAGTCTGGCATAGGAACCCTTGAGGTTTCCGGCAACAATTCGTGAGGCACCGATCTTGATGGTGGATCAGCTATGTTGCACTCTGAAGGCACTCTAGCGTACCATGGCAAAACGAACAACTCCTCTTCGACTTTGGCGAGGTGGTGCACGATGTTGCAAAGAACCGGGTTCTTGGAATACCCCTTCAAAATCAAATACCTTGCGGTTTCATTGTCGATGAAACACAACAAATGTTTGGACCGCACCAGGTCCTGCCACACTCGGAAGGCGACTAGGACAACAAAGGCTTCAAGTTCTCCAATCGCCTGCTCCTGATCCTCAGCCATGAAGGATTCACAAGAGTCGCGGCTTGCTTCTCCACCAAACCAGCTCACTACACAACCAGTCTGGTCGATCAACACTCCACCGACACCACCCTCTTTGGCTTCACAGTCGAAGCAAGCGTCCGTGAACAAGAAGAAAACGTCTCCCACATCAGCTTTCACGAGACGAGGCTGGGCATTCAACAACCGTCCCTTGACTTGAAGCATGGCGCTCACCGTTTCATCGCTCAGTACTCCACGTTTCGGAGGGCGCAACACATGCTGGCCAAGAACATTGATCAATCGCTTGGTCGCCCGTCCAAAAAGTTGACCTTCTGCGAATCCCAAGCGGCCTTTGAGAGAAGTTGCTTCATGAGTGGTCAACCTTCGGCTCGACAGGGCACGATCGATCTGGTTCGAGAGGTCCTGCTTCCGCTTCTCCGTGTTGCGAACCATGACTCTACCCTCTGAGGTCTCGGAAAGATCAACCATCACCCCCAGCGCGGAGATCTCGTGGCTCATGCTGTCAGACTTCTCGCCACTCACGTCATATCTCCATCCCAACAGGTCCAGCAAGAGGCAGAACGACTGGTCTGTGTTCCTGGCTAAGTTGCTGGGGCCACGCAAACGTAGTCATCGAAGTAACACGTGACCATGATGCTCAAGGAGTGAGCGAGCCACTGGACCAGCCTGGCGCATCTGAGAAATCCAATCACAGACGCCTTGGCGCCGAACGGCAAAGAGTGCTGCTGAAACACCTCGGTGATCTTGAGGCTCGGGTTGTAGACGGCCAGCCGTGCCCACTTCAAAGAAGAGTCTGAGACCGCCAGCTGCCGGTATGCACTCTTCAAGTCGAAACTTCTGCCAAGCAACTCGGGGTTCACAGACTTGACCTCGCACAGGCGCATGTACTCGGCAATCATGGCAGCGATGCAATCCGTTCCGTCCACCGTGCACTTGCTTGTGACGTTGACGGCATCATTGACTTGGCTCTCAGAGTAGTTGTCGATGGGTCGAACTTTGCCTCCTTGAACGACTGCGAACCTCCGAGACAGACGGCCATGGGGCACCTCAGAGAGTGGAAGGCGTGAGAGCCAGCCCTTTTCCACCTCCTCGCAAGTCTTCTTCCATAGTTCTTCGTCGACCTCACTGTCGCCACTGGACTTGGTGGAATGAAAGATGGCCTCGTTGCTAATCAAACCCCTTCTCGATGAGATCCACAATGCCGGGGTCCGGGTAGTTCATGTCCTCAATGATCTCCCTGAGCAGCAAGATCCTTTTTCCTTCGAGGATCTGTCTTCTATGGCTAGGCATCTTCTTGTGCAGGTCTGCTTCTTGTTTTCTGAGCTCCAGCGCTCTACGAGTCCATTTCTTGAACCATGCTGCTCTGTCGGTCACGATCTTTTCGGGCTTTTCGTTCACATTGCTACGAATGGCATTGGAGAGGTTGGAGTGCAAACTCTCGAACAGGTGCACTGGGTGCCCCCTGAGTAGCGCTTCTTTGATGAATGCTTCTTCACTCCATGGAACGCCAAATGCCACTTCAAACATGGTTGCCTTCTCACTGCTCTTCCCCCCGTCTTGGTGAGAAGGGATCTGGGAGATGCGGAGGATGCGGGCATATGCTGGCAAGGTGGCATCGTCGGCGCCAAGGGTGGCAGGCAGCTTGGAGCCAACACGAAACTTTGGTGCTCTCTGGAAACGTGCTGTTTCAACATGGCTGTAATCTTGCATAAATGCCAGGGACTTACGAGTTTGTTTGACTGTACTTGCCCTGGCTTTCTTGTCGGGATGCGCCGGCAGGACGGACTGCTCAAGGTCGAACTGTTTGGAGATGCTACGGAAAACGGCCGCTGCCCAAGCTTTGCATAACTCCAACGGGTATTCAACCTCCGCAGCTGTCGCGAAGCCTGTTTTTGTTCGGCCCCATGGCAAGTGTTTGTGATTTCCAGTGCAGTCACATGCCAACTCCTGCAGCTCTTTGATGTCGGTGGCGATCGCAGTTCTTTTGGGTCGGCTGCCACCGTACACGCAGGCACTGAACACGACGTAGATGGGCGTGAGATGCTGCAAAACCATTCTCCAAAATTTGGTCAGCCAGAAAATGGATCGCTCTGGTTGTTCTAGCGACCATCTGATGTTGTTGAAGTGGCAAAACAGAATCAAGCGACAAGAGACCTCGTACACTTTGTTTGCTAGCCGAACTCGTTCTGCATCGTCTCCTGTCAGCCATGGGAGACCTTCAGGGTATGCATCATTCCTCAAGGGCTGTGGCTGATATTCTCCATCGTTGAGGTCGATCTCGCGAGCCCGAGATGCAGTACCGCAAGGGATGCCCCAATGCGCGTAAGCACAGAGTGGATTCGATAACCAGCTCTTGGCAAGTGCTTCGCCATGTGGAGTTGTGAGGTCAACCTTGACGATGGGGCACTTGGATCTTGGTTTCACGACTCGATCGACTCCATAGCTGGAGGTCAAGCCAAGCGCTCGCAGTTGGGCCGTTAGGCCACCTGTACCGGAGCAAAATTCGATGCAGAACGGCCTGGTCTCTTGTATCTCGCCACCTTGTATAGGAACTGTATGGTGGTGGCAGCCATCATGTTCTTCTTTGTGAAACTCTGCTGATCCTCTGCTTTGGAAACTGCTTTGACAGACATCTGCAGCAGAAGATGAGATCTGTGCTCCTTGTTGATCTTCGTCAGCAGGAGAAACTTTGCATTGAATTCTCGGGACGACATCATGCTTGGGCTCGTCCCCAGCCCACCCTTTCTGTCACTTCTTGGGGCACGAGTAGTGGGGGTGGTTGCCAAAGCACCCCTTCGTGGCACACACGTGCACGCCCTTTTCGCACGAGTCGCCTGCTGCTGCCTTGTCACAACCATCGATGTTGTAGGCGAAGCACAACCGTTTGCCTTCTGGCGTGGCCGAGGCACAATTCTTCAACTGGTAGGGCAACTTCCCGGATCCACCAGTTTTGCCGCTGCCCTTCTTCCATTGTGTCTGCTTTGCACTCTTCCATGAAGAACTCTTTTCGTTGCTCCAGTTCTTCCATGACGCAGTTTCTGTTTTCTGCGTTGCCGGCTTCGCAGGCTTTGGGCGCGTCTTCTCCTGGGCTGTGGGCAGCATGTAGTACACGACTGTGTGGTCCTTGGGGAGGTTGTCGATCAAAGCGTCCAAAGGCCGAGTCCCATCTGCGTGGGGTTTGATGCCGTCGCGGCTCAACTCCTGAAGTCGAACAAATGCTTGACGGTCTGCCCTGAGCAACTGTGTCAACGTGGGTGCCTTGAAGTTTGGCGGCGGAGGCTGACGCATCAAGTTGAAGAGGTATTGAATCCATTTCTGGAAGATGTGAAAGTCGACCAAACCCATTGCATCAAAGGCAAGGCTCCGGCGCATCATGGCCTCCAACAGGTCCAGTTCTGTGCCAGTTGAGCATTGCTGCTCTGTAATTGAGTCTTTGACCGTAATTCCAGTGCCACTGGTGTCCAGCTTCAACTCTTTGGGTGGCTTTGCTGAAGTGATCTCTTGCATCCGCGTGATGCACTTCGACGGTGCCAGGTACTTCAAGGTGTCAGCCTCCATCATTCCATTCAGCTGGTCATAGACCTGGTGAGCCACCTCCATGTTCCCTTCCATTGACAATCCTTGGAGCCTCACACGTTGATTGGCGATGCGTGAGCTCCGTTCTGCCGGTGGCATTTTCCTCAAGGTTGGATCAGCATTCGGGTCGGCTTGAGATCTGGCCAAGGCAACTACGGCAGTTTGTGCTTCGAAGATCAACCTCCTCATTGTTGCAAGGTCCCCAACCGTAATCCTGCCACCAGGGTCACTTGCCGTCATCAGGTTGCGAACGTCTTGTTCGTTGACTGGCGTCCCAGGCTGACCACAACTGAAGGCCAACCGCCCCAATGTTGTGACCCCGGCATTCTTCAAAGCTTGAATCCAACCATCTTCCAGCCCCAAGTTCGCGGCCTGCTTTTCAAACGCTGCAGCGCTCTCCGTGAGGTTGGTAGCTGCCGCCATGATCGAGGAAAGGCGTGCGAGCTTCAAGAAAACAAATTGTTGTAGCACATGAAAACACAGTCATTGAATTCACGTCTCCTTGAAATCACAGAGCCCTCAAGGCGGGATCGTTGCTGAGCCCTCATGGCCACGATCATCAAAGCAGAAATTGAGACAACTCAGGGGCCCTCATGGCGCGAATCGAACCGAACTGGGCTCCTCAAGAGCATTTGCCCTCGTGGCCCAAGCTACGTCAAACAAAGAAAACACTGCGACCTCTTGTCAAAAGAAACAGGACCTCATGTCACCCAAACAAACGTCATGCTTGCCGTTCTAGTGACCTCACGTCGAATGCGGCGGCAACTCAGCGAAACGCTCCACTGATGCAAGTTCATTCACCTCTAGCTCAACTCTCTACATTTTGAGTCGCTTTCTTAGGTAAAGCCTGCTGCCTTCAGATACGCCGACGCTTGCTGGCGTTGACTACATCTATCACCGACTTGTTGTCAGCATCTTTGAAACACTTGCTGCATTTGGGCCAGCTAAAGATCGACCCCTCAGCCAAGACGGTGAAACCGATGCCATGGAGTCCACATGACGTAACAGGCTGCAAATGGTTCTTCGGGTCAGGGTTCTGCGTGTGCAGCATGCAGCTCCTCTTGTTCTGCATCAAAGGCCCTTTTACCTCTGGCTCCAAGCCGCTCTCGATGACGCTGGCCTTCTCTTTGTGCAGCTCTTCTTCGTTGTCGGAACTTGCGCTCGAATCTTCACTCTCACTGGCGCTCTCCACGAAGTCTTCGCCATCTTCGTCTCCGTCATCTCGAGCACCTTCTTCTGGCTCTTCGTTGTGCTCTTCAGCGTTGCCAGATCGTTCAGGCTCTCCGAAGGGGTTGTTCGGGTCAAAGCCGGTGTCGGCAGAAACATCTTTCTCACCCTCCAGAACCGACGGACTCCCAAAGTAATCTGCCTCATCGTCACCAGGTGCATGTGGCTCAAACAACGGTGCCTGTTTTCGCACCATCCACCCAGAGCGCGTCCCGTCTGGTACGAAGTTCCCAAGCTTGATGTTGCAGACCATGGCGCAAAGCTCACGCATGGGCTGGCTCAACATGTCCCGACTGTAGCATGCCACACTATTCTCTTTCAGAGAATGATGCCCCAACAAACCGCGTACTGGCTCGCTCAAGCCGTATCGTGCTGCCCAAACCTTTTGGTGAAGCCACCGTCAACCGTAGGAGCTCTGCAGATTGGACCATGAGGCGGTCCCAGCTCAAGCAGCCCAAGTTCCTCCAGAACGACTTTCCACTTAAGGCCCCAACTGCCGCTGCCTATGCCATTCACTGAGGCCACATACGGCATGTACATCGCTTTCCTTTCTGCAGTGGTCGAAGTTTTGTGGATTCTGGTTCTGGCTTCCACGAATCCAAAGGGGCCATCACTTGTGTCTATCACATCGAAGAAGAAGTGGTGGATGTTGGCCATGGCGCTCCATCTCGAACGAGAGTAGATGGCATAGAGGATGCACCCGATGAAGTACTTGTCATACTTGTTCTTGACTGTGTCCAGCATGACCTCAAGCCTCAACACCTCTGCCACTGTCAATGGCCTAGCTTGTTCAGTCGGGTCTCTGGTCGCCAGAACTCTGCTCACTTTCCCGGTCAACATTGGACCCAGCACAGCTTCGATGTTGAACTCTGCTCCAATGATGTACTTGAAGAACTTTAAAGCATGGATGAGGTTCTTGCCGATGAACTTGCTACGCTTCTCGTCCTCCTTGCCCTGCAAGTAGTCGAGAAGGTTCCGCTCCTTGATGGGCCACCACCGCAGGTCATTCTTTTCGCACCACTTCACGAAAAGGATCAAGTCTCGAGCCCTCTTCAACACGGTGGAGGGTGAACGCACCCCGCACGCATCTCTGATGCACAGCAAGGCACCTTCCCTGTCCATGGCCTGCAACTTCTCCTGAACGTAGTGACCAACTGACGATTCGAAGTTGCAGTCCTCGAGAACAATCAACCAACTTGCCAAAGCTTTAGTCCAGGTGAGATCTAACGTTGCTGCATAATCTCTGTCACACAGCGCTTTGATATGCTTTGCATATAGCGGCATGTCTCCAGGCAAAGAAGATGTGACACCTGTGACCTCAACTTTCAGTCTTGCGTCATCTGACGATCCAGGGGCCGCTCCAGCTGGATAAGCGACTAGGTCCTCGAGCGTGGGCAAGTTGTCCGACTTTGCTTCTCCAAAAATCTCCTTGAAGATGCCCTGCTCCCATGGCAAGGCAGGCATCCCTGCGCCAATCGATGTCAAGCTCTGCTCAAAGATTGTCCTCTCATAGTTTGCGCGCTCCTTCTCAGTGAAGATCGGACTTTTGTCCAGCACCTGTCGTCCACGTGCCTGCCCATCGCCAGGCAAGCCGCCAACTTCAAAGTTCACTTCAAGTGGAGCCTCGTCGGCTGCCAACATTGGCTCTTCTTGTGGCTGGCCCTCACCAGATGAATTGCCAGCTTCGCGGTCTGTTCCATGAGGTGCTTCTTCAACAACAACGGCAGGCAGGGCTTCAAGCCAAGCAGAAAGTCCAGGTTCGTCCATGGCTCCCCACTGCCCAAAAGCAACACGCGCAAACTAAAAGAGGTCCCACCCACCTCTCCCTTGAACAGAGACTACGTGTCATGAACAAATTCCGAATACAAGCTTCCAAGGAACGCAATGAAACATCTTCGAATTGAATCAAGTTTGTTTCACTAAACTGAAACAAATACGTTTCGATTAAATAAGTTCTTTGTCAACTTCGTCAACTGCATTCAATAAAATATGCAGCGTGTTGTTGGTGGAGTCGAATCAAACGTCAACTTGAGAATGGGGGAAAAGACCAATGTTCGATCTATACATAACATATATACAGTTATATGATAGTCCTCAACGACAAGAAGTACCACAAACAACATATCATGTCTCTGCATGGATTCAAACACTGCCCCAAGCTTCGAGTGCCCAACACCAAGTAACCATCGAGGTGTCGAGGTGATCCACCTCGGGACGAAGCGGTCAGAGGGACACCAAATAAGAGGTGTCAAGGTGATCCACTTCGGGATGAAGCGGTCAGAGGGGGGGGTTGAACTGAACTATCAATTATTAGATCCGGAGGAGCCCACACTTGCTTCGCAAAACAAACTCAAGGTATCCCCTGAAGGCTACCTTTCGTGATCACCAACACTGTGATTGTAATCCACCATGCACACCAGCGTTCGTTCAACCCAATGCGTTGTACCAACTGCTGCACAATGTTGCACACACCAATGCCAAGCAATGTACTCTGCACTGCCACTGCTTGCACCAATGTCTGAACAACTTGCTTCTCGTCCTCCGCGGTTGCAACTGCTATCAACTGCCAACACATTGCTTTGTCTGCACTGCTCCTCTGCATCAAGCACAACGCCGGGATGACATACTCCATGAACCACTGGCCACGAGCAGCAAACCTGTTGAAGTCCTCAAAACCGGTGCTCGAACATGCCACCAACTCTTTACTCCAACCTGTGTAGTTCATGTTGCCTACACCCTTCTGCTCTTGTCCACTGCCAGCTATCTTCAACTCACCCTCAAACCCAGCTTCACTACCTTCCCACTGCTGATGCTCCTCTAGCACTCGTCTTCCATGAGCCTCAAACCCATGTTGCAAAGCTCGACAACCGCAGGGCCCGAACCTTTGCTCAACACGCTCCATCATTTCACCTCCAACACAGGCCTCAAACCCAATCGAAACACCAAGTTTCTCACCTTCCAGCTCAGTCCGGTGACCACACCATACGACACCTGTCGAATTCTTTCCTGTGGAGCCTCCGAGCTTTGTCTTTTCCTGCAGGTCCATGCTCCCAGGATCAGGGACATGGCCTTTCTCTCCATGGCACATAGGAAAGTAGTTTCATCGCCCTGGGTAGGGCTCCGCTACCATCTCAAAGCTGAACGCGCACCGTTTCGCTGTTTCGGGCCACTTGTCACGAGCACACACTTCTTGATTTGTGCGTGCCTTCTCTTACATGAGTGCCTAGACTGAGTCCCGACACTTTTCCACATCATGGAACATCTCCTGGGCCTCCTGCTTCAAGGTCCTCCTTGTCTTCTCATTCATCTTCGGACTAATCAACATAGCCAAAGGCTGACTCTGATTGAGGGGGGTATGGTGCAATCGGCACTTCGGACCCTTGCTCCCAGTAGTCCTCGAACTTCGCGATGGAGAAGACACTCAATGTCCCCCATGGCTCACTCGTCAGGCTAATCTTCCTCCCCAACTGGTGGAAGTCCTCCTCATGTTCCAACTGTGTCCAAAGGCGGTCTTTGCCCTTCACGAGGGTAATGCGTGGCTTGTAGTCCTTCTCAATGCTGCCAAAGGGGTAAATCAGTCAATCAGTTGAGTCGCCACTGGGAAACCTCCACTCCATTGGGCAACCTGTGCCATCCAGGTGTCATTTCTCTTGGACATGTTTGCTCAAATAGCCTTGCAGAGCCAAAACTCGTGCTGTCCTCTCGCCTCCCACGTCCTGGTTCTGGATCTCCACATTCTCTGACTGCACTGCGAAAATCCTGGCCTCACACTGCAGTGAGTTTCGGTCCGTGTTCAGTGGGGTGTCAACTGCACGTTCTTCATGTCTCAAATGAAGGTTTCCATCCACATTGCCCAATCACCACCCTTGCCTGAGCAGTTTGCCTGCACAAAGCATGGGGTGTTGTACATTGCCCAGCACGAATTCCTCGATCAGTTCCACCTGCTTGCCAGCTTTGTCAACCATCCTGATTTTTGCAATTGCAACCCCATCATGAGCGATCTTTCATTCTTGGACATCGAACATCTTCAAATCATCTCGTCCATCTTGTCGAGTGCCGCCGACACTTGCATAAGATCCAGGCACGACCGAGATATCAGTTCCAGTGTCCACAGTGATCAAACACTTCTCATCGCCCTCCTCGTAGTTCATCCTCACCATGTTCGCAACCATCTCCTCTTCATTATCTTTGAGGTTTATGAGTCCATGGCCACAACCATCACTCCATTCGGCACCTCGACTGCCGGTTCATAGCAGTCGGGTACTCAAACTTGTCCAAGTCATTAAACTCCTCAATCTCATAGTCCTCACCAATGAGGTTCACCATGCCCACGCCGCGCCATGGATAGTTCTGACTGCCTTCATCACGAGGTATGGTAAGGTCAAACACTGCTGCCCTCGGGCAGTGTCTCCACCTTACCATCTTTACAGATGCTGCGTTCGTCAATGCAGCTCCTCCTCCTTTGCCAGTAGGTGACGAAATTGCGCAACCAACTGCAATGACCGGCAAGGATAAGCAGCTCGATCAGCCAAATGGCCGTGAACGTGGTTCCTCCCCTGGATTTGGTCGTCCTCGAAGTCCGCGTCGTAGCGACAGGGAATGAAGGTGCCGTGGGGTTTGTTGCGCTCGTGGTGCCAGTCCGTGGTTAGCGGAGCCCCGGTGCTTTACGACCAGGGCTCCGCTACCATGAAAGGATGCGGAGCGCTTTTCAAAGCGAACACTTGGGCCTTGTCGGCCGCGGATGTTTTGGGTTCACCTAGTGTGTTTGGCTGACTGTTTTTTCCCGCAACGAAAGTTCACGGTGCAAACTTGGGACGGTCTTTATAGTGGCCCGTCGCCAGACATGTGTCCTCATGTCCTTGTCCAAGTCCTGTCACAATATATTCGGCAACCACCCACACATTGTCATTGCACAAGTGTTGGAAGCAGGTGGCCCTTCGATTCTTCGATCCAACACCTGCGGGTTGGTGGTGTGCATTGCCTGGCACGTCGGGCATGCTGGTCACACGTCAACGTGGTTTTACATTTTCGCGCACTTTCTCAGTCTCAACGTGAAACACTGGGACCTAGCACCCTGCAGTGTCCTAGGATGTCCTAGGTCGTAGGGTGCCTTGGCAGTCTCGCCTGGTCGTTGACGGCTTTCATTTCCATGTGCATCAGCCGCTGGGCTGCTCCGACACAGTGCGTCTTCCAGGTAACATTTCTCTGCTCAAAGCGTGTGAGTTGTTGACCTCCTTGAAAACATCCCTTGCACCTTTAGGCAGTTGGGATTGGAGGTGTCTGGTGGCCCCGCCACTGTGCTGATCCAGGGTCTAACTTCTATCGTCTATTTTTGTTCGCGCCCTCTTTTTGCGTGACTGTGCGCAACCCTGCTCTTTGGACGGGGGCAAGCCGCTGGGAATGGGGCCCCTGTCGGTGTAGAAAGTCAAGATGTCGTAGAGGGGGGCGCATGGACCGTCCACATTGGTGGAGGCGGACGCGGGAAGCGCAAGGAGGCTGCTGGCAAAGGATCGCTTAGCAGTTGCTTGCCCGCCTCAAAGTCCAAGCGCTGGTAGCAGCTTTGCGAAGGTATGGGGGGGTCTTGCTAGGCGGTTGATGAACGTATGCGTTCCTGGCTCCATCACCCGCCGATCTCACGTCCAAGGACGATGGGACGAGAGCGACCAACTCCCAGCTATTCTGGGACGTCCGTTCTTGGCAGGGCGAGCTCAGCGTGGGGCTTCACCTGTGCATTGCGGCCTGTGGGGGACACAAGGTTAGTGTCAACAGCGATCAGCGGCAACGAGGTGAGACGGTTGTATCAAATCCCCACTAGGATGTTGGTGGGAACAATTGCCCCTGTTTCTTTGCAGGTTCGATTTGCAGTTCGTTCCAACCAAGGCCTCTCACCCCCAGGCTCTTGCTCTTGGGAACGTCTGACGGCTGTCAGCGTGATGCCAAGGGCAGTGGCAGCCGGAGACGTTTGGGCAGCAGGACACGGATTTGCGAGGAGCCCAAGCCAAGCTCATGGGAGACAGGGAAAATAGGTCAAAATCTTTGCCGCCAATGGCCCAGATCGGGACTCTAAAAGTGCTGGGGAAGATGCTGGGAGATGTTATACTGCAGGCATTGCTCTGGCGATTTGTTGCTGGATCGTGTCCAAGATGTCACATGTCGCACGATGTGTGGGCACGGGCACTCCCCCAACCCTCCTTGTTCGAGCGCGAGGCGGGCTCTGCCAAAATGAAATGCTGCAATCATACAGCGCTAGAGCACTCGACAAAGCCCTCCGGCCCGCCAACGTTAGAAAATGTGAGGTTACATTGCAAGTTTGCTGCCTGATCGTTGCTTGACTTGCACCCGCCAAGCCGCATAATTTGACCTGTTACAACACATGCAAGGATTGGCGTGGAACATGAGGGAGACCAGGGGAGTGGGAACCCGAAAACTGCTGAAACGAATGGCCCCAGGACGGGTGGCCAACCAAAATAGCACGTTTCCATTAACACAGTGGCTCAGAAAGGATGACGGCTGAGTTGTGGGGTGTATGCATGCTTCGTCAGTTTGAGCATGGCCATTCAGCTTGTGAAAATTTTAGGTTTCTTGGCCGCCTTCAATTTGAATCACCGTATTCGTACCGCCCCAAGCCTTGCCAGAGGACCGCGGTGAGTGGCGGAATCATGATGCAAAGGGCCCATAAATTGGTCATGGGACTGGCGCTCCAAGGCTCACGGGCCAATGTTTTACTGGGCAAGCCCCGCACTCAAATTCAACAAACTTGACCTCTCAGGCATGTGCTGCCATAGGGCTCTCGCACTTGCGAGGTGCAGCCAATTTTTTCATGCCGGACAAGAGATCAATGGATGCGTTGGTTTACAGCATAACATAAGCTGTTCAGGGCGGACACGTATGAGGCTCCTCGCAATGAGGCTGATGCAATGCACGGAGTCATCGGCTGAATGTTGAGGAGCGCTTTGTCGTGCATTGTTGGTGTTCTGTCCCGGTATGCATGACCTGGCCCTTTGTTGAGTATTTTTGTGTGTGCAGTTGGGTGACAATTTTTTTTTCCACACCTTTTTCCGCGCACATCCGGTCGACGGCGAAGGGTGACAGTGGGTATGACAGTCTTTACGCTGGCCTATCCCCAGACTTGTTGACAGTTTTTATCCTGGCCTGCCCCCAGGTTCGCAAAGTCCAACTTTTCACTTTCCATCGTTCTTTGACGGGACCGCTCGCCTCAACAATGTGTGGCCTGAGGCTATATAGTGATTTGCAGGACGGCCGCTCAGGGCTTTCTCTGAGCAGGAACTGGTGTGTGCCTTGCAGCTAGAAGGTCTTCTTGGAGGGCGAAAGCTAAGATTGCATTTGCTTTTGATGTGGATTGTAATGCTGTAAGCGTGGCCGCTTTGCTGACACGGTCATATGCCCAATGCCATCGACCGAGGGCACTGTGAGTTGGAGGCTTGCCTCGGTTGTGCTAGAAAACCGTGGACCAGAGCTTCAGGGGTGGACAGGGCCAACTTGAGTCAAGTGGAGCTGCCTCAGCAAAACGCAGTCCTAAACCCAGCTGCAAAGCAAACAACTTAGGCTCAATGATTTTCAAACCAAATTTCTATGCTCACGTTCCTGCGTAGAATTTAGCCGTCAACCGGTCCCGTCAAAAACAGGTTGGCGACAAATGGTTTGGCTGCATTAAGTACTTCAATGTTTTTTGATTTTTTTCTTGCTCGTGCATTTGCCTTCTTTGTGGGAAGCTCTGGCGGCTTTGGCGGACCATAGTGTTTAAATCTCCTAACATGCCCCCCAGCACCCGTGTTTCCAATCTTCTAACATGCCCCCTCCACAAAAAAAATGTTACCCCAGGGACTGTGCGCGAGTCGGGATATATGCACCTGCCGAGCCACTTGACGATTCAAAGGAGTCAAG